TGCACTCCAGCCTGGATGACAGAATAAGACCCTGTCCGAAAATAAATAAATAAATAAGGAAGGGAAAAACCCTGTATAGCATATGTCTACTACATCTGAATTGCCAAGCAGCATAATTTGGGGTCAAAAAAAAGATTAAAATAAACTTTTCTCGGTATTTCAGTTTTGAATTCAACAGTTTCATTTTACTCAAATCCACTCTTACTATTGGAACGCTTTGTTATAATGAGTCAGCGCCAGCCATTAGTGTGAGGGGAGCTTGCTGAGAGTGAGGGGTTAAGGAGGAAGAGAAGAGAAGCACAGTTATTGTCAAGTCTTGATATTTGCATAAATTCCTATGCATAAGTTATGCATAAAACCCCAGACAGGCAACACAGAGCCCATCTGTCTATATTTTCTTATGAACATCCATTACATGCGTAAATACCTTTTTTTTTTTCTGAGATGGAGTATTGCTCTGTCACCCAGGCTGGAGTGCAAAGGTGCAATCTTGGCTCACTGCAACCTCCACCTCCCAGGTTCAAGTGATTCTCCTGCCTCAGCCTCCCCAGTAGCTGGGATTACAGCTGCGTGCCACCACGCCTGGCTAATTTTTGTATTTTTAGTAGAGGCAGGGTTTCACCGTGTTGGTCAGGCTGATCTCAAACTCCTGACCTCAGGTGATCCGCCTGCCTCGGCCCCCCAAAATGCTATTACAGGCGTGAGCCACTGCACCCGGCCACATGCGTAAGTATCTTATTATTGCTGTTAAAGGACAATGTTTTGACTTTCCACTTGCTTCCGAGTGTGTTCTGAAGCTTAATTAAATATTCAAAGTGGCCGGTGCAGTGGGTCATACTGGGAGGCTGAGGTCGGAGAATCACTTGAGGCCAGGAGTTCAAGACTAGCCTGGACAACACGGTGAAACCCTCATCTCTACTAAAAATACAAAAATTAAGCGGACGTGCTGGCAGCGCCTGTAATCCCAACTACTCAGGAGACTGAGACAGGAGAATCGCTTGAACCTGGGAGGCAGATGTTGTAGTAAGCCAAGATCGTGCCACTGCACTCCAGCCTAGGTGACAGAGCAAGACTCCATCTCAAAAAGAAAAAAAGAAAGAAAAGAAAAGAAAAAGAAAGAAAAGAAAAGAAAAAGAAAGAAAAGAAAAGAAAAAAGAAAAAGGCAATCTAGCCCCCAGGCAAGAAGGAGGTCTGCTTTGGGAAAGGACTGTTACTGTCTTTGTTTAAACTATAAACTAAGTTTCTCTCAGAGTTAGTTCAGCCTATGCCCAGGAATGAACAAGGACAGCCTGGAGGTTAGAAGCAAGATGGAGTCAGTTAAGTGAGATCTCTTTCACTGTCTCAGTCTTAATTTTGCAAAGGCGGTTTCAAGTATGGTGGCGCATACCTGTGATCCCAGCTACTTGGGAGGCTGAGGCGCAAGAATCACTTGAACCTGGGATGCAGAGGTTGCAGTGAGCTGAGATCACACCACTGCACTCTAGCCTGGGTGACAGTGAGACTGTCTCAAAAAAAAAAAAAAAAAAAATTCAAAGTGCGTAAGTACTTACGAATCGAGACGAAAATTCTGACCAGTGTTGAAGAAAAATAAATTGCATGTCTCAATTTTGAACAAGTTGACTTTCATACAAATATTTCACATTCCATAGCATTTTATTTTTATTTTTTGAGATGGAGTCTCACTCTGTCACCCAGGCTGGAGTGCACTGGTGTGATCTCGGCTCACCGCAACCTCCGTCTCCCAGGTTCAAGGCATTCTCTTGCCTCAGCCTCCTGAGTAGCTGAGATTACAGGCACGTGCCACCATGCCTGGCTAATTTTTGTATTTTTAGTAGAGATGGGGTTTCACCATCTTGGTCAGGCTGGTCTCGAACTCCTGACCTTGTGATCCACCCACCTCGGCCTCCTAAAGTTCTGGGATTACAGCCGTAAGCCACCACGCCCAGCCTACTTTTTTTTTTTTTTTTTAATTGAGACGTAGTCTTGCTTGGTCACCCAGGCTGCAGTGCAGTGGCCCAATCTCAGCTCACTGCAACCTCAACCTCCCAGGTTCAAGTGATCCTTTCACCTCAGCCTCCCAAGTACCTGGGACTACAGGCATATGCCACCACTCCTGGTTAATTTTTGTATTTTTAGTAGAGATGGGGTTTTACCATGTTGGCCAGGCTGGTTTCAAACTCCTGGCCTCAAGTCTTCCCTCTACCTTGGCCTCCCAAAGTGCTAGGATTAGCAGGACACTTTGAATATTTAAATAAGCTACAGAACACACTCAAAAAGTGAGTGGAAAGCCAGGACATTGTCCTTTAATCGTAATAAGATATTCACACATGTGACCAGATGTGGTGGCTCACACCTATAATCTCAGCCCTTTGGGAGGCCAAGGCGGGCAAACCACCTGAGGTCAGGAGTTCGAGACCAGCCTAGCCAATATGGCAAAACCCCGTCTCTACTAAAAACACAAAAATTGGCTGGGCCTGGTGGTGCATAACTGTAATCGCAACTACTCTACTCAGGAGCTTGACGCAGAAGAATCACTTAAACCCAGGAGGCGGAGATTGCAGTGAGCCGAGATCCCACCACTGCACTCCAGCCTGGGCGACAGAGCGAGACTCCGTCTCAAATAAATAAATAAATAACTTAGTGTGAATATCTGATTATCAGATTGTATCTGATTATATTTAAGAAGAATGGGCCGTGCACAGTGGTTCAAGCCCGTAATCCTAGCACTTTGGGAGGCTGAGGCGGGTGGATCACAAGGTCAGGAGTTTGAGACCAGCCTGGCCAGGTCTGGTTTTTTTTTTTTTACAGACCATTGTAAAAATACAAACATTAGCTGGGCA